CGAGGATGCACTTTTGGGTAAATGCGGGCGTATTTGTTTTTTTACGATCCTGAGGCAGATAATAATTCCAAAAGGCAAGAAGATTTACACAGTACTTACAATGCACGTGCATGATTTAGGGAAGTGCAGCCACAGTACATATTTTACGAGGACGCAGGATGTAATTATTTGAAGATATGCATCGAATGGTAGTGTCATTCACGGACGTGAGGTGCGATGATTTGTTAGCTCAGTCCGTAGGCTTGCTCCGTAGACATCACATCTGCGCGTCAACGTACCTAGGATCATGGGCTTTGGATCACCATTATACACATTCTAACGACATCCAGTTGTTGCGTCAGTTTGTGAGGAGATGCAGAGATGCCTTTTGCGTAATCCTCATAGTTCAATCGACTTGGCTGCTGCCATCACCCAGGGCAAAGCACAAAAACTTTAAGAGCTGTTCAAATTAGGCGGAAAAACATGGATCCTTTGTCGTAGACATTGGTATGTAGATTAATATATCAGTGCGTGTTTTGTAGCAAAACATCGACGCTGTCGAAAAAACTTACCTGTCGATATGAGCTCACAGACTGGTCGTTGGTTTTTCGCATTGCTTATGTACATTTGATGATAACTGAAGTTTGCTGCAGGCGGATGGGTCATATCATGAACATGGCTACCTATTAAGTAGATTTTCCTTCTGTGTATTTCAACAGAAATTAGGCAAAAGATTACTTGTCTTCATGGCCACTACCGGCCACCAACAGTGTTCTTATTACCATAGTGGAATAACAAGTTACTGACGTTGCTCAAGACTCTATGCAAGGTTGGTGGTTGTGGTCATAATGCTGGAAACAGTAAGTATCGCCAAACAAAGTACTGCGTATGACTCCCAAAGAACGCTCATTATACGCTTTCACCTTCACGTAGCACAGCTGACTGATGGTAACAGCAGAAATCCCCCTCGACCTTACGAAATAAACCAATGATTGTGACTCCTTTCCTGATTGTTGGGAAGCCGTGAATACATTTAGCATTCGCGTTCGCAATCGGCGCGCCGGAGGAGCGGCCTTGCAGTCTGGTCAAGGTATCTTTTAGTGAGCAGATATGCAAAGCTCGACAATCCTCGTCAGTGCACCTGTCAACAAGCGCGACCAATGATCATGCGACAGCTTGATTGCTCGTGTCGTTGGCTACTTAGGCTGGAACAGTATATTAATTGTAAGTCAACATTGACCTTGTGAAAGCATGAAGCTTCTATTCGTGGTTCTCATTTTGTTTCATTATGCAGAAAGCTGCTTATTAATGCAGAGTAATGATCATTTCATAAAACTGTCATACTTTTTAGTACACACGGACTATAGCACAGGGGATCGTGCGATTCCGTTGGTTTTTTAATTTCCTTTAATATAATCCACCTCTTCGGTTAAATGGATTAATAGTAAAGGTTCTAAGATACATGATATATCAATGTAAAAACAGTTGATTTCTTTGGAGAAGTTTCTTGCTAATTTTACTTGTCACAATTTATCAACGTTTCCATTTCCAGGCATACCCAACTGTCCGAGAAATGAGGACGATATTATTCTGCAAGAAGTTGCTGAATACTTGGTTCGTCAGGCTTATCGACTCAGCTTTGAGAAAACACTGTTCGTAAAAAGCATTTCACGTTTGAACATTATAGTGTTCATAAAACGAGCACCAACTGATTTCGAATGCACATTCCTACGGTGGGTAACACCGGCGAAATATGTGCAGTTTATATGTCGATCCAAATTTCCTAACGTTACAGTAGACATAAAACATCAGGTAAGTTAGTCAATACTGCATTATCCTTTACTCGTTATTCTCAGGGCACCTTCCTCATAATAAACAACATATAATTTACTCTTAGAAACTACATCATCAGTATTTTGATCACATTTGGAGTACTATCGGACATTTGGTCTTTGATCTACCTGATCTAACATTAAAGGCAACTGTCGACGTCACTTACTGGACAAAGGAAAACAACCCACCAAATTTTATTCGACTGTCCTCCCTCGAGATTTGCAGTTCATCTACAAATGCTACTGCATTCGCTTATGAACCCATCAAATCTGCTTTTACAGGATTCCTGAATATGCCTTTCACAGACTTCTATTCGTTTCTGAATAAGGGTTTGTTAGATGGTCAAGCCAGGGAATGCCGTCAGTAATTGTGAGCATGATGAAGTCATGTGCGCTACGGAACGGACGGTTGCAGAATAAAGTTTACTGAAGTCGTCTTATTGTTTAACATTTACATTTGCAGGTTTTGCTTTTTTAGACAGATCGGCTATATATATTACATTATTTAATCTTTTAAGTGAAACGACCAGGCGTAATTCATGTAAATGTGATCTATATGTATGAAGTATCTGGCTGTTTAATGCAAAACCTCATCAGTCGAAATGATCGGAACCCGTTGTGGGGAAAGTGACAGAATGACATAGATGAAGTGCATTGCTATAGCGTAGCTAATCGATACACCCAACAAGGATTAAATAAGAAGACGTTGGTTCGTGGACAGATAGTCGGTGTGCTATGCTTAATTCCAAGTCGACTGAACTTAGAATAGCCACTGAGAACGAAATGCGAAAAGTCAGAATGTTCATGAAGTTCAAAAAGAGGACGGAAATGCAGTGATTACTGGACAATTCGGAAGGCAAAAAATACTTTTGAATAGATTGCAAAAATGTTAAGCTAGATGATCGACCAGGCCGTAATATATGTATGAGAAAGTGGCAAAAAAACATGACCGTTTATAGACGTCGAATAGATTATGTCATTTCACATCAATGAGGTGTTGGCATAAAGATGATAAAAGTCATTTAGGAAGCTGCCAGGGTTGGCGGCCATTGCAGAGGACGAGAAAATTTAAAAGAAGTGAATCGACAAGAAGAAGAAGAAGAAGAAGAAGAAGAAGAAGCGGTCGCTGGAACAACGGCTTTATTCACCTGAAGTTTCTGCCTCTCACTTGAATCCATCATCAGTGACAGTGGCAGAAAAGGCTGACTCGTGGAAAGGAAATCGCAGTATTTATAGAATGCAGTCGCTATGCTACCGCATACCTATAGCAATTAACCGCGATCCACTTCATCAAGGATAGATGTCCGCTGGTGCGCTAATGGCTTGATGGCCGACATGCAAGTTGTTAATTACCGAAATGTCATCACCCATGTTGAATGCTGGCGTGATGGTTGCTCGGCCCTCTGGCAAAAAGGCGGCTAACGGCCTCGGAGACGTTCTTGATGTACGGGATCGTTCGCCAGAATTTGGGTCGGCACGGTTCTGTCTCTCATATCGTTTGCGAGTACACCGGTTGACGAAGTTGCGCGGCTAACCATTTTCTCTGAAAACCCGTCGAAGATTTTGGGATTTGGCAACCTTGCCCTCCGGTTCACTGCAGTGCGTCTCAACACGCCGATATAGTGTTCTAACGTGCCCTCAAAACGGGCCACGTGTTAGATGCGCTGGACCAACACGGGGGCCACATCGGACTCTGGCAGCCGTTATCTTTGCGTACTAACAAATGCCAACATTTGCGGGGTGCGCTGGCGGACCCTGTTGTCGGCATTCGTCGCTCAACTGGACCACTGCCGCCACCCCATTGTTTTGTGGTCAAAATCCTGGTCATTTGTGTGTGGACCAGGGGATGCGGAGTGGAGCGCCAAGGTGAGGATCCGTCCGAGCCATCCACCTGCGGCCTCCCCCGTCTCCGGTCTTCTTGACTCTGTCTTGACACCGGGCTCAGGCGGGGGAGGAGGAGAGAGTGTAGGTAGATGCAGCGCAAGTCTACTGGCACTATAAACCCCTGCGCAAGTCACCGTCCCTGCTCCCACAACGCAGTCTGTGAGGCACACGGTGGACATCGTCGAAATCGACGGTCGAACTGTCGGTATAGTGTTCTAACGCAACTGCGTTTATGGCTGACTGGGTGGTTACTGTTGAAGTTCAGTATTTGCGTCGTGTTAGTCGCTTTCCAGAACACTTTAGTCCTTAGGCCACCGCAATCTTTGCGCCAGACGAAGACATTAAGGAATATTAGCTGGTTATTTTCATCCACCTCCATCGTAAATTCTATGTCCGGGAAGACGATATTAAGACATTTTTTGAACGTTAACACATGATCCCGTTCGACGTCGACGACTGCAAACATTTGCTGTTTGAGAGGCCTCTGCTTATACGCAGATCCGGTTTCTGCACATGTGTCTCGATCACAACGTTTTGCCGAAGTGCGTTTTTATACAATCCCCCGTAGAACACGCAGCTAGCGAGACGTGCGGTATTTCAGCACTGAAGACGTATGATCCGCGTGCTCCTTCGAGACTGCCATACGAGACTACGCAAATACCGTCAGAGAATTGACCAAGAGAAGGCCAGATGCTGCGCGTTCATGGGCGAGAACGGCACAAATCTGCTTCAGCAGGAGGTGACTGAACGAGCCCGCGAGCAGAGAGCGACACGCGATGCAGCACTGGGGAGCAAATTCCACAAACTGCCTGATCCAACGTCATCCAGAAGCGGCACAATGGTACACAACCTGTCGTCAAAGGAACTGACGAAGGAAAAAGCACAGGTTTTACGGCACGAAGCCTCATTCAACGCAGCTGACGCCAAACCTGTCAACATGATTGCAGCAGTGGAATCGGTCATTAATCAGACGGAAGCGGCGGAGGAGACGAAGAACCTTATCCGACACCAAGTTACGTCCCTCCTTATGACTCACAAGCCGCGCGAAATACTCACAAAGGTCGAACGCGATGCATTAAGAGAACTCAAGGCCGACAAGGACATCGTCATTGTGCCCGCGGACAAGGGGCGTTCCACCGTCGTCCTGGACAGAACAGACTACCTTCAGAAGGCCAAAGCCTACTGGAGGATCGCCAGTTCTATGGCCCATATGAAACCAACCCCATAAAAACGCTGACACGCGAAATTAATGCAAAACTGTTGGCACTGCAGAACTCGGGTGCAATTACAGCGACCGGCCGACGCATGGCGAGAGCCCAAGAAACGGCTTTGGCCCGATTCTATGGTCTCCCAAAGGTGCACAAGGAGGGCGCTCCTCTCCGGCCCATTGTATCGCTCAAAGGCACTCCAACGTCCGGACTGGCAAGATGGCTGTTTCGTCGCCTCAAATTTTTGACCGCTGATTCGGACACCACGGTCTGTTCGTCAATGCAATTCCTGGAGAAGCTTAAAGGAGTAAGTCTCTTGCCCAATGAGGTCATGGTATATTTTGATGTCACGTCCCTCTTTACTAATATCCCCTAGGATCTGGCAATCGAGACCGTCCAGCTACTCCTACGAAACAAATACGATAAAACGGAGAATCGTCTCGCACATGCCCAAGACTTTGAGCTCCTTAAGTTCTGTCTCAGGACGTACTTCACGTTTGACAGAACAATCTACGAGCAAGTGAAGGGAACACCAATGGGATCGCCGATTTCGGGATTTACCGCCGAGGCGGTGCTACAGCGGTTGGAATCGCTGGTCTTCCAACACCACAGACCGAAATTCTGGGCTCAATTTGTTGTCGATACCTTCGTCGTCATCGTACGGGATCAGGTGCTAACGTTCAAACAGCGTCTCAACAGCGTCTTCCCGGACATACAATTTACGATGGTGGAGGAAGAGAATAACCAGCTGGCATTCCTTGATGGTGGCCTAAAGACCAAAGTGTTCAGAAAAGCGACGAACACGACGCACATTCTGAATTTCAACAATAACCACCCAATCAGCCACAAACGCAGTTGCGTAAGAACGCTATTTCGGCGTGTTGAGACGCACTGCAGTGAACCGGAAGACAAGGTTGCCGAATCCCAATATCTTCGACGGGTTTTCCGAGAAAACCGTTACCCGCGCAACTTTGTCAACCAGTGCCTGCGCAAACGAGACGAGCGACAAAATCGCGCCGACCCCAAATTCCCGTACATTAAGAACGTCTCCGAGACCGTTAGTCGCCTTCTTGCACCACTTGGGATTGGAGTTGCGCACAGACCGGAGGCCACCATAAGGCGTCAAGTGATGAGACCGAAAAACCCATTGCCACGGCAAGAAACATCTGGAGACGTTTACGGGATCTGGTGCAGTTGCGGACAAAGCAACTACGTCGGAGAAACTGGAAGATTGCACCGGACGCGAATCGCCGAGCACGTGGCAGCTGTACGGAGAAATGACGCCAACTCTCAGGTCGCGGCCCATTCGGCGAGATCCGGCCACACATTCAAGTTCGATGAGGCCGAAATTCTCGCGAGAGGAGATAATCGCGTGAGCCGCGAGTTGCTTGAGTCATGGTTCACGGGACCTCAACGGGACCTATCAACAAGTGCAACGACATCCCCACTCCATATTCTGTCCTGAGGCTTAGACTGGCCAAAGCAATTGGCCACTCCAGGAGCGCGCAAGCCGGTGAGCCAGATGGCCGAGCAATCATCGCGCCAGCATCCAACACGGGTGATGAGATGTCAGCAATTAACAACATGCATGCCGGCCATTAATCAATTAACGCAGCAGCGGGCAACAATCCTTGATGAATTGAGCACGGTTAATTGCTGTAGGTATGCGGTAGCAGGGCGACCGCATCCTATAAATACTGCGACTTCATGGGCAAACGTTTATTTGTTTGGCCGTCGAAATCTCTCGTTACATTTTTGGTCGTCCGGCTTCATTTTTAGGTCGCGTTTTGTATTTCAAAAAGCGCATACAATTAAATAATATATATAACGTCCGACTTAAAACCAAACATAACAGCAATGCAATCTAATATCACTGATAAATAAGTTGGACGTTTTCTTTAGGCGTAAAGACAGCAAATTCTAGTATTCGTTGCAAGCAGTTTTGTGCGAACGATTACCGCCACTCCTATATATGCGGTGTTTTCGGTGTAGCTTATGACTGCTAATAAATAATTGCTCAGCTTGAATTTAGCAAATCATGACCATTAAAAATTATTCTCGAAAGTGAGGAACAAGCACTATTACTGTTGAATAGGAAACCAGCACTGCGAAATGCCCACCCAACAATTTTTTTTCCAAAGGGATTTCTCACCGGCCGAACGGGAGAAATGGAGGGAACTCAAGGCCGAACTCCTCAGAAGATACAATACCGGCGAGAAAAACCTAAGAATAATGAATGGCAAAATCGTAAATGTTCGGAGCTCATTCCTCTGGAAACAACCAATAACACTGAGCATAATGAACAACCAGATAATAAGGAAAGAACGCCCCTATCTGACAAACCGATCAGAGAAAACGACGGACAACACACTAACATCCAGTCCAATCAAACAGCAGTAGACTCGGAAGAGGAAAATAGACCCGAAAACTCGCGCGAAGTATCCAGCAACTTCGGCCCAAGAATCGTTCGGGAATCTGCCCGGTCTAAGCTCCGCTTTCTTTATGCAAATGCTCAGAGTTTGTTTCATAAGCTAGATGAGCTGAAAGTATGGATAACAGATACGCAGCCGGATGTCATTTCTATCACAGAGACTTGGTTCCAGACCGAAGTCTTGGATGCCGAAATAACACTTTAGGGATACCAACTTTTTCGCCGGGACAGACTGCATAGAAAAGGAGGAGGAATAGCGGTCTACGTCAAGAGAGCAATCATCGCGTCGGAACACAAAACCGATTGCTCCGGCGACTGTGAAGCAATGTGGTTAAAACTGAGGATGCGTGGCGCACCTAATTTGAATTTCCTGATCGTATACCGGCCGCCCAATCAAACTGATGAGGTTGACGAGGCGATGTTTGGGCTAATTAAAGAGGTGTCACAAAACCAAGAGGTACTGATTACCGGAGATTTCAACGCACCCATGGTCGACTGGAACAATTTATTAGTAAATGGTTCGGGAAATTCATTTGATTCCAGGCTCTTGAAACTAACGGCTAATCTCTTTCTGGTACAAAACGTCACGTTTCCAACGAGGATCAGAGCGGACCAAAGAGCAAATTGTCTGGACCTGGTCCTTACAAAAGACCCGATTAGCCCTGGCGAACTTAGGTCCATAACACCGCTCGGTAAGAGTGACCATGTCATGATGTTTTGGGAATACCGCCTATGCAGCCAACAAGCGAATACGAATGAGCCTAGACTGAAGTTCTGGCGAGGAGATTTTGCCGCCATGAGAAGGGAATTCTCGGCAGTGGACTGGGATGACTTTCTTTCCGGACATCCAGACGTTGATTGGAACTCTCTCAAAGGAGATGTAACAGACATCATGCATCGAAACTGTCCGACAAAGAGAGTCAAAAAGAATAATCGTCCTGCCTGGATAACACGGGATATAAAGAAAGAAGTAAACCGGAAAAACCAACTATGGCGAAGGTATGCAACAACAAAACAACCATCCCATTACGAGCAATTTCGTCGAAAGCGAAACGAGATAAGTGGGGGCTATCCGCAGGTCGCGGAAGCTGTATGAAATGCGAGTTATGGAACGGGCCGTCGATAAGCCAAAAGTGCTCTTCGGTTACATAAACAGTAGGTTAAAGAACAAGGAGACGGTCGCACTGTTGGAAGGAGAAAACAATGAGGACATCATCGAAAATGACGCTAAGGCAGAAAATCTAAGCCGGTTTTTCGTATCGGTTTTCAACGATGAAACGGACTTTGACGAGGCTGGATCTCCTGCTGGGACAACCGACGAAATAATAGAAAACATCGACTTCACGGAAGAAGATGTGAGGAAGGAACTTCTAGCGCTTAAGGAGGGCAAGTCTCCGGGCCCAGACCAAATTCCGGCAAAAGTGCTGAAGGAGTTGTCTTGCGAACTCGCCAAACCGCTTTGGCACATCTTTAGGTCCTCCTTTGACCGAGGCATTCTCCCCTCTGATTGGAAAGTGGCGAGCATATACCCCATCCACAAGCGCGGATCCAGAACAAGTACAAACAATTATCGGCCGGTGAGCCTAACGTGCATTTGTTGCAAAGTCATGGAGAGAACAGTCAAAAAATCCATAATGAATTTCCTTGAAGAAAATAATTTATTTGCTAGTTCTCAGCATGGCTTTCGACGAAATCATTCCTGCCTAACGAATATGCTTCATTCAACGGAACAGTGGTCTCGCTCGTTAGACGCAGGAACAAAGGTCGATATCGTTTACATAGATTTCAAGAAAGCCTTTGATAGTGTTCCACACCACCGGTTACTTTACAAGGTCCGAGAGTCAGGGATAAGAGGAAACCTATTAACCTGGGTAAAGGACTTTCTGACTGGTCGATCACAGTCTGTGTGTATTGGTAGTGCGAAGTCAACACCAGTGCCAGTTGTTAGTGGAGTTCCGCAGGGCTCCGTACTCGGACCAGTACTATTTTTAATTTATGTCAACGACTGTATGAATGGACTGGACTGCAATGGAGTCAAATATGCTGATGACATCAAGTTATGGCGAGCGATCAACGGCGAACAAGAAGGCCCTGCAAGAAGGACTGAACCGCCTATGCGAATGGTCTGACAAATGGCTGCTAAAGTTTAACCTAGAGAAGTGCGTCGCGCTGCGACTCAAAACGACTGGAAGATCTGACGGAGAGAATCACCATTACCAACATGGTGGAAGGTGCCTTTCAAATGTAACCGAACAAAAAGATCTTGGGGTTAACATTCTGTCGACACTTAAGCCTTCAACTCAGTGTGATAGGGCGTCAAAAAGGGCAACTAGTGTTCTCTTTGCCATTAAAAGATCTTTCGTGGACATAGACAAAGTGTTATTTGGAAAAGTATACGGAGCGTTCATTCGCTCGCATCTGGAATATGGAATCCAAGCGTGGTGCCGTGGCTAAAAAAAGACAATTAGTTGCTAGAAAGAGTTCAGAGGAGAGCAACAAAAATTGTAAAAGGCCTCAGGACTTTACCTTACAACTGCCGACTTAGGGAACTTAAACTTTTTCCTCTTGAGTACAGGCAGGTTCGAGGAGATCTCATACAGGCCTATCCGATATTGGGCAACCGGGAATGTGCCCTAAACCCCGACGATTTCTTCACCCTGGCCACAACAACAAACCTGCGTGGGAACTCTCTAAAACTTAGAGGATCCCGATGCCGCCTGGACGTTCGCAAATACTGTTTTTCACAGCGAGTCGTCGGTGCCTGGAACGGGCTTCCCGAGGACGTAATAATGGCGGATACCACGGAGACGTTCAAGCAAAGACTCGATGCATATTTGCTTGGACACTATCGCTTGTCTGAACAGAACAGCTCTGTGGTGCTAACCCAACGCCTTGCATACTCATACCGCTAATGCGGATGACTGTCATTACATTTTACTGAAATCATCTACAACTGAATGTTCTTAAGTTTTGGTTCTACATTTTCACGGAGTATATTCTGTTAAATGTGTATATTACTGACAAAATTTCAGTACCATGTTTATTTATAGTGAGATATTGCATGTACCGTTTACAATAGGGTTTTCAAAGGCTTTGCCTATTACTCTTAAAATATACTGACCTATACTGACCTATGATTTACTAGGCCCAACTGCAAACCAAATGAGTTCAACAGGGCCACCTTATGTTTGCTTTATAAGGGTGTAGACATATTTATAATGCAGGTCACTATAATTGGTTTTGCATAGGATATTAGGGAGAGAACAACTTTCGCGAATGAACATTGAGGAGGAAATTAAGAGAGAATTGTAGCTTTCGCAGATATCTGATATAACTATTTCGGCTAGAATAAAGCGGATTGGAGTATGAAAAAACTAACGGAAATTCAGAGTAGCCAGACAACGCTTCGCTTAAGGAGGAATAGTCGGCTCCGTACTTCACTAAAGTTCCATTTCGGTTGGTCGCCTGTCGCGTCCTTTTTTGATACTGACGTTCGTGACGGCGGTTTACACACATCTTTAAAATACCCACTGATATGCTTTTTTCCTAAGTTTTCACCCTTTTTTGACCTCCACTTTTAACTCCTGTATGATGTATCAACTATGAAAGAGTAAAATAGCAGAACTTAGGCTCCTTACAATATCTCTGCGCATTCCTACTCTCATTCAAAAACAAAATAAACTATACTTATCTCGCCAAATTATGTTTTGTCTTATGTTTAAGACACTCACAATTTATCCTTGTCGGGATAGCGCACAGAACAAACGGTGTTAAACCGAATTTGCTCCAAAGTGTATAATGAAAATCTAAGTGAATTATTTCGCTTTTAGGCTTTCCATTTTAAATTGTCAGTAACATTTGCATAGAAGTGGTCACTTTATGTTAATTTAATCCCCTACGCATGCTCAGACAAACCAATATTGTGTGTAATTAAGCATATGATGAAGTCCCCTGAAATGCCGAAAGGACTAGGAAAATACATCGACTTTTTCAAACATTTCGTCACTCCGAAAGAAAGATGAACAGGAAAATTAGTTTTACTTATATATGATCATTGGTTTTGCAGTTGAAGATCAGAACTGCTCACCCCAATGAGGAAAAGTTGTGACATTTTGCATTTCCGACTTTTTGAAATTCATAATATCTCCTGATTTTCTTGCATGACTGGTGTATTTCGTCAGGTGGTTGAGGCCACGAATGTGTATCTATAAACAACAGAGTCGACCTGGGAGTCACCGGCACTATAAGGAATCGATAATTCACTTCTGGTGTGCTTGCATCTAGTAACCGGAGTGATCGGGATGATGTTGGCCCAAAACAACATCCTGGACGTACGGTCATTCCAGATTCGTTGACGTGGTAAATCGGGCTTCTGACGATATTATACCGACGCGGATATACTGTTTAAATAATACTCGCGGCAAATGGCACGAATATGGCTAAAACATAAGTACCGCTCTCCGGGCATGTTAGCGTATGCATGACTAATGTATTAAAAAGTGATGGTACTCCAGCACACTGTCGGTAGCTCTCAAACACACTGATGAACCCGGCGGATGTCCTCAATATGTTGTACTCACAACACACCCTGGCAACCGTCTTAACTGTTTTCGTGCACAAAAGAAGGTATTTTATTCATTGAGTGCATAACACGCCTTCGAATTGTAAAAAGGTATATGCATCCTTTACGACATAAATACCGCTCAAATTTAAAATCCTCACTTTGGACGCTGGACATCTCAAACCGCAAGATTAATCAGCCATACGGCGACCATAAACGTGGGCGTGCACCGCAGTCCGAAGGTTGCTGATATATTTTACCTATGACAGCTTATGCAGACGAAGCGATCATGATGATCCGAGCACTATTGACTGACGACAACAAAATGCGTTTTCTTGGATACAGTAGGCCTGCGAAATGTATATAATAGATAGTATTTGTCACATACCCGAGACACTGATTTCACAGACACAGAAGGCGCGCACCTCCAAAATTTAACTAACGACCCCGTAAGCACCTGCGACGACATTTCACCCCTCAGTAGCTGTACTCGTTATATCCCAGCAGTGATGGGGTACGTAGGAAATGTTCGGGCTTCTGTGCGGGAAAAGGGGTTGGTTAGAATCCGAAGCGCTTGATAGTGACATAATGATCTTATTAGGATGAATCACTTTACCCTAACGATGCGTACTTTAGTCGTTCAATCCACACTCCCGCAGACCTGACTACGATGACTTGTATAAGAAGATCACATCACCAACCGACTTTTACTTAGTACGCTGTGGTACCATCCTGTGAGTCTCGCCGAACACCTTTGAACTTTGAGTTAAATAACGGTGCACTTGTCCAACTGGTCACGACATTCAAAAACAGATGTTTAAGGAATTTATATTCCAAATGATACAATCATTTGAGGACGTTGGTAAAAAGCCATTTAGGAAACGAATTATCGTTGTTTCCGCGCATTATGCAGGTAAGCAAAATATATTTTGCGAGACGAGCCCTGGCAGAGCGCGAGGAACGGGATATCAGCCCCTTTACTACGAGTGACCTTGCGTCAGATTTCAGGAAGGCTGTTTATTCCTAACACCATCACTTATCCCGATCTCAGTCCTTAGCCAACCTCAGACCTACTTCAAGTCTGGCCCTAAACACGGCCTTAGCATTAGCCCTATCCCTTAGACGAATTTGGTTGGAAATAAGCGCAACGCTCATGGGCATCATGGGGCGTTCCTGTTCCCGTCTTTCCGGCTGGGAGCGCATACAAGCGATGTTTACTTCATATTATTCTCTCTTCCCTCTAGACATGATATTTAATTCATATTGCTGTAATAAACAAATTTGTTTTTCTTAGACGACAAAACATGACTTTGTATGAACGGACATTTTGTGTTCAATCTAGATGTTTTTCATTGGAAGCAACCATTTACACCACATACTGGGTCGACAACCAAGCATGATTTTGCTATCCTCCGTACATCTTCCAATTGCATCTAACTTCGTTTCATCATGATATTTTATATTCATAAATACGGTTTTTCAAGGCTTATTAAATGTTGATACAAATAGTTTCTGTTATTTTTTGATCACATTTTCTAAGTATAAAGTTGACGGATAAACATTATTATTTAAACAAAAAACCGGAGAATTTTCAGTAAAAAGTGATTCCAAATATTTAGCTAATATTTTCACATGTTATGTTAATGGAAAGATTCATAACGTGAGCCTACAGCATTTAACCTACATTAGTTTAAAAATCACTCATACAACGAACGTATTCTTGCACACTTCCGCAACGTGTCTTGTTTGTTTGAAAATATATCTGCGCTATCGTCCATAATTTAGCGGTAGCTATTTTCTCCTAAGCGCCAATTTCATTTGGACAACACCAACTGCTGTTAACTTCTTACCTACCTCATGGTTCGCAATTCTACATTTTGTACTCACTTTTTCTGCATAAGATCGTGTTTTTGCTATGTAACTGTAGTAAACTCCAAAGTCTTGTTCTGTTTCTAGATAGGTCCTATCAGTCATGCGTAGTTACGGCGATCTCAGGTTAAAAACACAGATGTGATTTTTTCTACGTCCCCTACAAGTTTACTAAACGTGGATGATCTATAACGTCTCAGAACAACACGAATTACCGCATCCTATTTGATCTTATAGTCTATATATTATTGACTTGAAGGGGTTAAATGATCAGCCTCCTTTACAAAAACTACTTTAGATATGTCATGTCTCAGTCGGTTTTTCTTCGCGATCTAGACATCAGGAGGTCAATTAGTTTATACAGATGTGTCTGTCATTGCCCCGAAAAAGACCAACAGTCTGTCAAATCATATTGTTAGCTATTTAATCTACAGTGGTCTATAAAATAAAAAGGCAGTTGAAATTAACAAAAGAATGAAATTACTTGCCGCACTTTCCCTTTTGCTTCATTATACTGAATGCTGCTTCTCAGGAAACGGTAAATTTCCCCTTCCTTACCTTCACTGATTACGCTAACATCTGCGTAGTATGGGCGATGGAGATGTGTAAACCGTCAATGATTTAACTTTTCCGTTTTCACCCTATTCATCTGATAAAGTGCATACATGCCTTATATGAACTGTTTGACTTCACGAGAGTGAATTAGTTGTTAGTATTTCAATAACGTTTTCTGGAAATCATGACCTATAATATCCACAAAATGTTTCATGATGGATAAAATGGGTCGAGTTTTTACTACAAATCCTGGTAAAATCATTTATGGTTAAAATGCTCGTCGGGATGTCTATTTTTTTCTAGACAATACAAAACGCGGACTTACCGTACCTTAGTTGAAAGCTTTCTGTTAGATGTGAAGCCGTTAGTCAGGATAAAAATTGTCAAATTCTAATTTTTACTGCGGCAGGGAGGAACATTGATTTACATAAAAGATCTAAAATCTCAATGAGGTTTATATTTGACAAAAAGGTCATCCTAACAGCCAACTGAATGAGAAAGAATAATTACGTGTTTGTTTGTTTTCAGAGGAACGGAGATGCCCCCGTTCTAGCTATGGCTTTAGTCTCAATGATGTTGCTGAATACCTCACTCGACAAACTGATTACCACGGCTTCGAAAAAATAATCGAGAATAAAAACCGGCGTCTATACTTCATAATTTTAATCCAAGCCGAGTCCTTATCTTTCGATTGCACGTTTTTACGGGATGAATGGGCAGAAAAATACTGGCAATACACGTGCTTAACTCCGATCTCTAACGCAGAAATTCATATAATAAAAGAGGTAAGATATGGCTAGAAGTATAATTATTAGCAGTGCCTGTAAATTTTAAACAGAATGTCAGTTTTTCCGTTTCTTTCACCTACTCCCTTGCTGCATGCACGTTTCTAAACCAACAGACATTAAAACCGAAAATGCTGAAAGATTCACAAAATGGCGCCCGATATTTCACATTCAAATTACGCAGTTTAGGACTGAAGGCAACTATCGATTTTACTTACTGGAAGGTGGATAACAGTCCGCCAAATATTATTCGACTGTCCTCACTGAAACTCTGCAATGCATGCACAAATGCCTCAGGCACTTCATATGAACCCGTCAACCCCTATTTATTGAAGATGCTAAATATGCGTGTCAGCGAATTTAACGTCTTTCTGCAGCACGAAATGTTGAGTGCGGAGTCCATAGAGTGCCAGCAGGAATTATCGACAGTACAAAACTGAGGAGCCTGCAAAACTGAAAATGTTGCAATGAATATGATTAAACGTGCTCTCCTTGTGCACAGCTAACTTCTTTATGGAACCGATTCCGTAGTATGAGTATAAGGTTTTTTGGTTTGTTTATGGAGAAGAATAGTCACTTTATCAGACCATCAACAAGTCAACTGCTTGGTGATTACATATAGAACTGAAGGGGGAAATACTGTTCTGTGTATATAGACATGGTTGTGTCAGAAAACATACTGTGAAACATCGTATGCTGTTATTTACATCAAGGTTAGTGAATACGTGGCTCTAAGTATTCTTAGTTGCTCAACGCACGACAATCCAAATCAAAGCTATAGACACTCCTAATTCTACCGTTTTAGCTACCTCGAAATTTTATCGGGCATATTAATGCAGCGCAACAATCCGTTGCTAAATTTTGTCATGAACGCTCAGGACCACATACTTATGAGTGTGTAACACCAATCCAAGTCGACTCGCTAGACGAGATGCAAATGCGTTATTCCAGAATGCGACTCCGTTTCCAATCACCTACAAAATGTCAAATTGAAAAGGTGGTTTCGCCTGCGGCGACATATAACCAGCCCGAAAACAAATTATCTTTCAGTGCTGGGCATGAGTAGTCTGTCCGAAATTGTGACCGTGACTCGTCTCTTTGGCATGAATGGTTACGGAAACAAGTAGTTCATTTATACGGGTTCAAAAGTCTGGCTGTACAACCAGAGGAGTCTGCAAAAGACATGACACTAAAGCTGCTTACAGTGAGCTTGCCGCAAACTGCGGCCGGTATCTAAATAACACCATAAACGAGAGTCTTATTTATTGAGAGGAAATTAAAAATGCGGACGCATCGTGATGAAACCGCATAATTTTTAAAAGATTTGTGTAAGGTTAACTGAAATGTGCAAATACGGTTTCGAACGGGGCAATTTTTGGTGCGAGAGGTACTCATCGTGGATATGACAACGGACACTTAAAAATGAATTGCTTTGCGCAGATTTTAAATGAAACAAGATGGGGGGAGGTTGCACGGTATCGGAGATTATCGGACGTCAAATTCCTTTCATGAAGTTGGGGATAGTCAAAGTAGAGGCGTTGAGGAACAGCTGGTGAGGCCGGCCATAGTGTTCAGAGACCACAAACGCCATCGCTACGGTAGAGTCGTTTAGAGCTTTCAGCACCCAAAATTTGTGGGAGCTTTTCTGAATGCAAAAATCGAGTAATAGTTCTCCTAAATAAAGGAAAATTTTGCAGAGTTTTCACACTCATGGGTAATTTATTCCAAATAGCAATTGCTTTTACAGCAAAGAACCGATGATATTTAACAGTACGTGCCAGAGGCAGAAATAAAAGGACCTCACGGTGACTGTTACGTCGTGGGTGGATATGATGTCTTAAAGAGGTGAGCGGGTTAAATGTGTGATTATATAAGAGTTTAAATAGCAAAAATAGTCCCTTTTGTAATCTACGGAACCATAGAGGAGCGAGGCCTGAAAGCCGGCAACGTTCTTGGAAAGACAAATGTCGGTGTTCCGGGGTTAAAATTCTCTTAGTAAAAAAGTGTTGAACGGATTCTATTTTCTTCTGCTCAGTAGCACGCATGAGGCTAAATGAAAACGAACAGTATTCCAGACCAGGTCTAACGTACATGTTGAAAAGGCGCATTCTAATGTCCCTAGTTTTAAAATTTCGGAGGATAAACCCGGTCGTTCTACGTGCTTTGGAGACTATCAAGGCACAGTGCTCCGAGAGATTGAGACTCTTGGAGTATGACACACCCAAATCCTTTAAAACCCCTGGCACATTTATTGCGTGACCTTCAATACTTAGTTGAGTTTGGCGGTCGTCGCCAACCACCATGACTGAGCACTTATGCCAAGAAAGAGAAAGGCGCCATGTGCGGCACGACTGGGCGAAAGCCTGTAGATCGCTCTTTAGGAGCTCAAGCACGATGTCATGATCTGCCGACTTATATCGATATGCAACTTTAAGATCATCGGCATACATGAAAGGCTTACCATTCTGAAATAAATCGGGTACATCATTAACGAAAAGGCAAAATGAAAGCGGTCCGAGTACACTACCCTGAATGACTCCACTCCTCACACGTGTGGGGTTGGAGATGGTATTGGAAATCTTAACTCGTTGTGTGCGAGTGCCCAAATAAGAGGATATAAAATTCAAAAGTTTGCCACCTATTCCGAAAGAGGACAATTTCAAGAGAAGAAGAGCATGGTCAACACGATCAAAAGCCTTAGTGAAATCGAAATATACAGTGCAAAGTTCAAAAACATTGTCCCTAGATTAGAGAACATAGTCAAAGAAAGAGAGTTGACAGGTGTCACAAGATCGAGCTTTGAGGAATCCATGCTGAACAACACTCAGTAAGTTGTTCGCTGTTAAGTGACACATCATCTTATCTTTGATCAATGTCTCCAAGATCTTCGAAACTGCGGGGAGGTTGTTTATTGGCCAAAAGTCATCAAATGATGTTGATTTGCCCTGCTTAGGAATGGGCAAAATGTGTGATTCCTTCCACAAGGTAGGACAAGTTTCACTTTCAAGAGCAAGATTAAATATCTTGCATAAGAGGGATGGGAAGATCGTGTTTGCATCGGCTTTTAAAATGCTTACTGGGACACCATCAGGGCCTGGACTATAAGATTGACGAAAACGCCGAATGGCAACAGTCACATCCCACAGAGTGAAAGTTATAGTTTCTAGAACTGCCCCGGTCAATGACTGGATGGTCGGAAGCGGAGTGATCGAGTCTTCAATAAACGTTTTGGACAGGAAATCATTGAAGCTATCCGCGGTTAACTGGGCATCAACTATGGGATTTCCGAGATCGTCTCGAAGGATGGGATACTGCGTCTTTCTCTGAGTTCGTATTTTTCTAGAGAAAAGTTTCGAGACATTTAACGAATGGTTTTCGGTAAACTGGACCTCTTCGGCTAGCTGTTTTTCTTCAGACAATCTCTTAGCTCGAGCAGAAATACCACAAATCAAGGGCAGAACAGAAACATCGTCCTGCAGATGGAAACGACGATAAAGCCTGCGCAATCTGCGACGAAAGGGTAAAGGTAGGAAAATCTCATCCCCAACATTAATAATTTTCTTACGGGGGACAAAACGAGAAATAAGCGGACCCAAAATTTCGTACAGTTTTGCAATGGAAACATTTACATCTGAACTAAGGAAGAACTCAGTCCAGTCGTAGGAATTAATGTGTGTTAATAATTCGGTTGAGCGAGTTGATCGGAAATCGCGGAAAAAGTTATACTTTTGGGACGACATTTCGTCAGCCTCGAATTCCAACGTTGAAACAACTATGTCATGGTCTGAGCCCCCGAGTGGGCCTAGGGATGACATTGACGATGGCAAGCAGCCTCTACAGAAAATTAAGTCAAGTATACTTGAGCCTCGGGTAGGAAAATCAACAACCTGAGTCCACATCCCGACATCCACGGCCTCAAGAAAGTCATCGAACCTTCTGGGGCCTGAAGGCGGAGACCAGCGCACTTCAGGGAGATTAAAGTCACCCGCAACCAGTTGATACTTAAAACTTAAGTCGGCCGCAGCATGAAATGCCTGTGAGAGTAAGCGATCAAAATTGTCATTGGCGTTGGGAGGGCGATAGACGCAGCCAACGAGTAAGGAGAACTTATTTTTTACTGCAACCTAGATCCAGCAGCTGCCTTCTACCGCTGAAAAGTGCGGGAGGTCCAACGGCAAACATGTAAGTGTTTGCTTAACGTAGACGCAGCTGCCCCCACCACGGCTATCTTGGCGATCATTTCGAATGCAATTGTAGCCTAGAAGAGAGAGTTCGGAGTCAGCTACTGAGGCTGATGCCCACGTCTCAGTTACTAAAACAATATCAGGACAATGGACGAAATCCTGAGTCTGAAGCAATGGCATCTTATTAAGCAAGGATCTGGCATTTAAAACAAAATTTTGAAGGGAAAGGCTGTTAGTTTTTGAGGGAGGTGGGCCACATTGTCCAGTTCTGGATCGCCCACGGAGCAAACGGTCCGGATGCAACCATCCGGTTCTGCAAAAAATTTTGTGGCATCAAAAAATGTTGACGTGGATAAAAAAGGGGAGGACTTGGGGGAGGTAATGACGGGCAGGTAAACTGGTAACTATTGTTAGCTAACTTATTTTCAGCTGGAAATCCGCGGGGCAGATACTGCAACGTATTCCCGCCGGGACGAAACTGAGGATCGGATGAATTAACTGATTCAGTATGGATATTATCATGAGGAATAAATTGGTAAAACGGCCGTGGAGGAAACAAGTTAGGGGGTGGGGGACGCATTGTTTCCATTGGAACAAGAGGTCTATTAAACGGTGGGAAAATCGGCATATTCGGCCTAACTGCCTTGATATGAGGGCTGGGGGCAGTTGAGAACCCGCTACGTTTTGAAACGGGGTATTTGAGGCACTGTTCGCCGATTTTGGAGGAAAACATTTTATACTGGTGCTGGATTTATTGGGTGTCCGAGTGACTGAGACAGCAATTGGATTTGCCTTTGACTTAGGCACATGCTTATGCTTACTAGGGGTTGCTGAGGGAGTCGATAGAGGCGTGTTTATACCAGGCGTGGTGGTGTGTTTAAAGAGGTCAGCATTAAAAGTAGTCGAACTCCCTACGGAATCGACTATGCCGTGACGTGCAGATGCCGCAGGTGGTGTTGTAGAGGACATACTCAGACTGACAGTAGGTGTCATTATCTTGGTGTTGGTTTTTGCCGATTTCAGTTTATTCAGTCTTCGCTGCAGGGGTGTGAGGTCTGGCGAAACGCAGCAGCGCCATTTACGGCAGAAGTCTCTAGTCATCTCCCTACTCGACAAGACAAAATCGACTTCTATCATGGAGAAAAGGGTAACTAGTATCGGCGCATTACGGCTAAGCGAGCGAAGTCGCTTAGCTTGTGCGACACTAAAACTCAAACCACAACTTTGTAGGAACAAATGCGCTCCCTCCATAGCAGATAAGTGGCTCGGAATGTTTCGCAGTACGAAATTATGCTTGCGTTTAATTCTTTCCTTATTTTCCGAACTTATTACCCCAATAAGTTTAAAAGCTTGTTCAAGCACTTTTTCAGAAGTGCTGTTTATGTCTTCATAAATCAGCTGATCGATTATTTCGCCGGCGGATGGCCTGCTACGACTAGCAGAGGCGTATTTTTGGACAACTGAAGGGTCGAGAAATTCTACATGTACTAAAAAGATTTGTGAGTTAATCAGATCTGCAGACGGCGAAGAACATGCGCTGGCGTCTGCCATGTCTTCAGTCACGATTTTAGCACCCATAGACGGTGGGGAGGCCGCAAGCTTTCGCCTTTTAGCACGTGCTCTGCGGGGCATTACAGACAAAAGTTTTTCGTTACAGAAAAAGGATCAAAACGTTGCCGACGTACGGAAACGCGCACTAAGTAGCAAGTATTACTGTTTTTTTTACTACGAAAACTAGAAAGCGGTAGTAGGGAAAGGATTCACTACAATGGATTTTTTACAAAATACGACTATTTTGCCAGACTGTCAAACGAACTGGGAAAAAAATGTACCTTATATAGAAAGGCGACTTTTAAAACGGACTCAAGTAAAAAACAGGCATTAATTACTTAAGAATATCCAGATAAATGCAGAGCTTCACTTATCTATGAAATTGAGCTGCGCGCCTTGACAATGTTAATAATTATACTTCTATCCCTATCTTACCTCTTTTATTATATGAATTTCTGCGTTAAAAATCGGACTTAAGCACGTGTATTGCCAATATTTTTCTGTCCATTCATCCCGTAAAAATGTGCAATCGAAAGATAAGGACTCCAAATGGATTAAAATAATGAAGTATAAACGCCGGTTTTTATTCTCGATTATTTTTTCGAACCCGTAGTAATCAGTTTGCCGAGTAAGGTATTCAGCATGCTCATTTAGACTAAAACCATAGCTAGAACGCGGGCATCTCCGTTCATCTAAAAAAACAAAAAAAACACGTAATTATTCTTTCTCATTCAGTTGGCTGCTAGAGTGAGCTCTTCGTCTAATGCAAGCCTCATTGTGATTTTAGATCTTTTTTGTAAATAAATGTTTCTCCCCGCCGGAGTAACAATTAAAATATGGCCATTTTTATCCTGACTAACGGCTTCACATTTAACAGAAAGCTTTCAATTAAGGTAGGGTAAGTCCGCGTTTATTGCCCTCTCCTCGTCTGGACTGGATGCGGACTGTGCCCGTTTGCGTCTAGGTCTAGCCACTTTGACGCGAAAAGCCTCATCCGCTGTATGAATTCTGCATTGACGAAGTCCGCATCGAATCCTTTAAGCACAACCGCACGCAGGCCAGTACTGTCTGTCCCATGTACTTACCCTTTCATGAGTGCGGTTTTTCTGTCCTGAAGGTGTCCTTTTAGAATCCGTTATCCACTGCCACATGCAGACCGGTGCTGCTCGCAATCTTATCCTTTCATAAGCACCCGTATTATCTCCATTTAAATAGATCCAATCACAATCATTTTGTTTAGTATCTAAAAGATTTTTTCTCACTGCTCGCTAATCATTTTCTGACTTAACTGTGTAGTCAAAAACATGCACCGAATACTGTGGAGATTCTGTCTCTCTGTTCAATGATTCATGTAAATTTTTTTGCTTTGTATTATGATGTTCTTAATTAGCTTAAATGAAATTATATGCATATAAATCTTTGCTTAGTTATTTTCTACCAGGTTTTATTAGATAGGTATCTAGCTTTATATTTCCTAGTTCCGTGCGGAATTAAAGATGGACATGATAGCAGATATCTGTTTTCCTTTGCTAGTCAATGTGTGTGCGTGATATCTAAATCCTTCTGTGCTTGCCTTTGTATTTAAGGACTCAGTCTTTGTCTGGCTTGCGTGTTGCTACCGGTCCACTTCTGAGCGTTCGCACGGGCAGACCCTCGCCTGAAGTTCGTGCGTCATTCCACGGCGTGCAAATATCTAGCTCGCCCGCGGGCCTGCAAGTCGAGACTGCCCTGCTTGTTTGCGGTTCTTTGTCAGGCGTGACCTCGGGACGACAGCAACAGTGCGTCATGTTCTGGGTCGTTCTAACATATATCCAACGTTTTCTATCATTCATTAGATCTGAGATCAATTCTGATAAACAGAGAGTACAACAAAATTAGATAAGTTCGTTTTAAGTTTTCCTTTCTGCATTCTTGGATTACCAACAGGGCCGAATTTCGTTTCAGTTTATTTGATAAGGATATTAGGAAAGGCCTTTGAAAACCCTGTTTTTTACATATCCGCTCGTTTGGATACAACTGCACACGAAGAATGAAAATTTTCGCTATCATAACAGTATTTGATTCATCTGAGTGGCATTTTTCAGATAAAAAATTCCGGATTCGCGTGGTATTTATCTGAGGTTTAGACTGTCGAGGGAAACCAGCGGACACAAATAATTATCCAAGCGTTTCTTGAAGAGTTGCAGGGACGTCGCTTCCACGACTGACTGAGGGAGATCGTTCCATTTCTCCACTACCCTTTGCGTGGAAAAGTCAGAACGAAGATTTAGCCTGGTCATTTTATTCCGCAGTTTCGTCTAGCGACCACGAAGATTGGGTGAAAGCTGGGAGTGAAACATGTCCTCAAAGCTACGTCCATTCTCAAAAGATCACCTCTATGCTGCCTCTAACACAGAGGGAATAAATTAAGGCAATTGTAAGTGCCATATTCTAAGTGGGACCGAACAAAAATGACGTAATCTCTTCGTAATTGCATTCCATTTGGGTAATTGTATTCGTTGTATATTGATTTTTCTGTTCCGTGTTTCTTCGAACTACGGTTTTGGACTATCTTTACACAATGCTGCCAAGTTTTGAAGGAAATAAATCTCACTCATTTTTGCATGGAAGTAACCGCTGATTACCAATTAAAACCACAATTGCAGATTACGGCCATCGGAATGCATTTTTCAAACATCCTAATGCTACCTGTGTTATTATCATTTTCAATTACGTTGAATGAGGGAAGGTTTGTCGAAAATTTTGAAATATTACTCAATAATAAAGCATTGGTTAACCTTTTCCCATCTCTTATGCATTAATGCTCTTCGATTGGGAATCTGCGGAATGGGAATTTACAGTTTAGAATATTGACAATCAGCAGTAATTTTTCGTGTATGCCTGGATTAATTAATCAGTCTATTGATATGTTTTTGACTTTAACGAGTTAACTTCTTCCCGGCAAGAGGAATTCTTGCCCAACCGCACAAGCTAGTGTTGTGGAACGTACATTTTTCTAACACATTTTGGGGACTAAAAGGGCAGTCTCTCTGTTCCTATGCCTCCACGTTAACGGAACCAAATCAGTACGGACTGACTCTATTTAAACTAACTAAGTTTAGTCTGTTACAAGAAGCATGAGCAAATACCTGTGTTCGCTATTGAGTAACCATATTAGCCAGTGCGTCCAGATCGTGAAATTAAATTTAGGGTCGCCCGGCAGCCAATCTAAATAAATAAATAAATTTTTATTTAATGCCAGTTTACAGGCATCGTCAAGGGAAGCGATTAAACATAAATCCGACCGGCAGTGAAAAAAACTTCTGAGCTAAAGGGATAAAAATATAGTTGATGTTGGGTTTATGGTTTGGAGGGCTCAGGAGAAAAAACTACCGGCGGTGGGAGAATATCTACCGTCAAGAAGGGGGGAGGTTGCACGGTATCGGAGATTTTCGGACGTCAAATTCCTTTCATGAAGTTGGGGATAGCCAAAGTAGAGGCGTTGAGGAACAGCTGGTGAGACCGGCCATAGTGTTCAGAGATCACAAACGCCATCGCTACGGTACAGTCGACCAGAGTTTTCAGCGCCCAAAATTTGTGGGAGCTTTTCTGAATGCAAAAATCAAGTAATAGTTCCCTTAAATAAAGGATAATTTTGCAGAGTTTTCACACTCATGGGTAGTTTATTCCAAATAGCAATTGCATTTACAGAAAAGAACCGACGATATTTAACAGTACGTCCCAGAGGCAGAAATAAGAAGACCTCACGGTGACTGTTACGTCGTGGGTGGATATGATGTCTTAAAGAGGTGAGTGGGTTAAATGTGTGATTATGTAAGAGTTTAAATAGCAAAAATAGTCCCTTTTGTAATCTACGGAACAATAAAGGACCGAGGCCTGTAAGACGGCAACGTTCTTGGTATTATAAATGTCGGTGTCAACTCCACCTCCTCTGCGTTGAAAGCCTCTGCAGGGTGCTCGTGCGGTTTGAGTAATCAGTAACCAGAGTCAGATTATTCTTGGTAAATATTTTGGATAAATACAAGCGTTGGACAACATATATACAGTCCATACGATGTGCACGTATGTGTATGTCAGTTTTATAAAGTCTACACTTGGTAGGACTTCGACATTCTGTCAAAGTAACTGTGCCCGAACGGTTGATATGCGATTGAGCGAAAACTGATCGTCTAGATTATAGAACTACGAAAAGTATTTCCTACTTTGATGTGGAAATCAACGCATGCGCTCCTACTGAAGATGAGCGAAAAAGAACCATTGGCTTGCCGATGCGTTCAGACGTTATGGTCTCCTTGAAAATGCCGTCTACTTCATTGACAGCCTTAGTAACTAACTATTTTAATTTATCGAGTCGACGTATTACCTGTTATGCGTGAATGGATTCCAAAAGAAAGTGATAAGGACACCGTGGAGAGTCTAGCTGACAGATACTCTGTTCTCTTGCATGTTTACTTTTGTATTCCACGAAGTTCTACCTTAGCCTTGTTTGTGTACCTCGACTATTAGCGGCCGCTAGCGAAGACGTCCAAGCATTCTTTTGTGAACTCACAAATGCCCACCCAGTGCGTAAATCTTCGAGTAGAGACTGCGTTTGGTGCTATTAAATACCATGTAGAAGGATGCTTTGACGACCGATGGTTATAGGTGAGCCTTTTGACCCAGAATACTTCGTCTACGCCTCCCGGAAATATAAAAATTCCGCCTTATGTTTCATCGCTTTGAGTAGATTTCCAGACTCACTGGACACTTTCTTCAAACTTTATGCTGCAATACATCCAGAATCTAATTTGTTGAGGATGTGATATGGCTGCGCAATTATCTGAACTGATTTTTACTTGTTAGCAGACAATGTCCTTTACCTTGAACAGTGTGTCGAGACTTAAAAAGGTGGCTATGTTAGCGCGCCGGCTGTTTCGATTCAGCGCGTCAAGACTTTCCTGCGTCTTCCGTAAATACTCGCGTTTCTCGGTCACGTTTTTAGCATCTAATGGAATAATTCCTCCCCCTTACGTCTCAGAGGGCCGTGAGGGTGTCCCATTGGTTCCGGAGGTACATGGGCCGCGCAAAATCGCTCAGATGCGTTCTATTGGCAAGCGGGCTAGAACTCTTCTAGATTCTCTCGCATGACTAATTGTACCTGGAACGAGTACAGCGGAAATTGAAAGCCTCGTTGTTGATTTCTGTCTAAAACACTCCTTGTACCCCTCCCCCTTCGGTTATAACGGTTTCCTTAGGTTAGTTCTCATCTTTAGCTCAGGCGAGGTTTTTGCCGATAAAACTACACAGTTCTCATTTCTGCGAGCATCTCATGCACTCATAAAGATCTGAATCCTGATGACCGACCCGGTTCATTTTTTTTTCAAGTTACTGCCGGCCGTTCTATTCGAATGCAAGTTTAATTTAAGAGAATCGTTTTGGGCAATATAGTTCGCCCTGCCCACCACTTTGCTGCATGTCAGTTGTTACGTTTTTTAAAAATGCAACGCAACTTGAGTAATTATGGAATGGGCAAATGAGTCTATATCCGCCAACTACATACGGTAACGACCAGATCGAAGTCTTGTACGTTTACGGGGGTTTCGCGAGAATATGAATGAAGTGTAACTACAGTCCCCCCGCCCAATGAGGGGAACACAAATCGAAGGAGCTTAGGAAATCCTCATCGACTAGTTAACAAATTTTGCCGTGTAACACCGCTCTATTACGTCGGTCCCGGACAAATCTGAATGCATTTACTCACCGGAGCCTGCTTTGTCAGGCGCAAGACCTCGCTTATTTCCAAGCAGTTGTTAGCTGCAGTGTTTACTTTCGTCCGCCATCTGTGGATGCACTGGTTGGTTAGTCTCAGGGCTAGCCCATAGATCCCGTCATCTTGGCTTCCTACATTTCCCTATGAGATAATTGAGACCTTTCTTCTGCGGGTAATGCTGTTGCTTTGCCTGACGGACCTCACTTTGAAATTTAAAAGCCACCAACTTTCGTTGTTACCGGTTGATAAAACTTCGATGGCTCACCGTCTCACACGTTTTGACTGCACAGTCCGTCGATTCGAAGGCGAGTTCGTTCGCGACTCTACATCTGTTTGCTGTGTTGACTGTGTAAAGGTGAACAGAGGTAATTACGTCAGACCCGCCAAAATTACTATATTTCGCCGGTGTTCGTCCAGAGATGGGCATTTTGAGGGCCTAGCTGTTGGTAGCAGAGCATGAGCTGCCCCTGCCCGTGATGTCGTAAACCATGAAGTCAGGAAGGCTAACGATGGGAAAGTAAGTAACAATGCCGAAACAAGATCAGACACTGTGCTAAACTGAGGACCAGGTCGATAGCACAAGGGGTCTGGTTTGCCGTTTCAGGTCTCACAAACCCATTTTAAGCTCTACAGTAAACCTATGAAGAGTTTGACGGAAGTACCAAATGTGCCAACTGTTTGTTGCTTCGGAGGAGGATAAACATGGTCATCAAATCCACCTTATATACACAGCTTGATTCTTGCCGAAGTCCCTCTGCGGGACTTTAACCGTTTATTGCCTGGGGTCTTTCGTACAACTTGGTTGTACAAAAGATACTTTTTTGCAGGTCTACGTTGCCCTTAGGACATTTATTTCTCACGGCGTTTAGCCAAGTAAAGGCTCCTTTTCTCTATCCGATCCGTTCTCAGTTATGGCTGGAATATAGTCATTGTAGTTCTGGTACACTAAGTCTCAAGTGTTCGTTTGGAGATGGTTTCGTAGTATTCCCCGTTTGATTACCTTAACGTCTCGACCTCAGGGCCTCCACATTCCATACACAAATGTCTTCCTAAGTCATTAGGACTCGTTCTTGTCACTGCTGTCCATTACGCACACTATACTGTTCTAAAATATAAACCGACATTATACAACACAAGCACTACCGGAATCCTCTTTTCCAAACTTATTCACTCAACTTCAGTTTCGTTGAGTCCATTTAGGCAAATAAGACTAGCTAGCGCCATCAGGATACTACGCATAACGTAGTAACTACACTATCCGTTAGCAGTGTACAGCCACAGTAACTTCCTTGTTGCAGACTCTGCGTATTTGAAATGACTATTAACCATCCCCCCTCATCCACTCAGTTACCATCTCTCTGCTCAATATCAAGTACACCATTTCCATTCGAGAACGTTGTTTACAAAATCGCCTGTTTAAGTCATTTTTCGTATTTAACGGATGATATCTACGCTGCTGCACGTTTTGATACTCTCTGTTCTGACCGTTATTTGTTGAGCTTGGACTCTCACCATTCATTTATTCATTTGTCTTCTCGTCTCCCTCTTGCTTATTGTAGCACGGTATACACTTCCGTGAACGAAGTGGCCATTCACGGTTTACCTTCAAAAGATTGTATTTTACGTGCGGATGACCTGATTTCGGTGGATGTCTCTCTTTACGATGGTCAGGTTCATGGGGACGCTTGTGTCGCGTTTCTTGTTCCTGGCGAATCTCGGTTGCGCTCGGCCCCGACAGGAATTAGCGATCTACTGCATTGTGCCCAGAAGTGCTGCCAAGCTGGAGTCTCTGCCTGTGGTCCAGGCGTCCCTTATCGCTGCATAGCTGAGGCCGTTTCCCAAGCAGCTCTCAGTTGTGGCAATTTCCGCGTGGTGGCCGGTATTAACGGCCATGGAATTGGAACATACTTCCATGGCCCTCCTGAAATCTGCCACTGTATCTATGAAGAGAGACCAGATGACCATGGTGTCATGTGTCCAGGTCACATCTTTACAGTTGAGCCCTGTATAGCAGCCCCATCTGCGTCGGCTGATGAAGGGGCAGTTGACAGCTACGTTGCACTTCCTTTCACTCAGCCGGATGGCTGGTCTGTACGCACGTCTGACCATGCTCTGACTGCGCAGTTTGAAGAAATGGTCTTGATAACTGACGATGGTTATGATCTCCTCATCAGATAATTTTGTGTGCTTCAACTATGTTCTTTTACATGTACTTTGCTGAATTTTTTCGTAAAATCTCATCTCCTGCAAGGCAAACTTCTGCCCTCTTGGTCCTGTCATACAAGCCATCCTAACCATTTATAAGCAAAGTCTGTTGTTGATGACATCTCATTAGCAAATCTGTGTACATGCCCAATCGAGCCCTATGCAGAAGAAGTGAGCAGGTAGCAAGAAGCAAGACAAACCTCTGCCCTCACCATGGTATATGACAAGTTGTCTTAGCCATATAAATCGAAACTTGGATTTTTAGGTGCTTTCCCAGGCATGCGCATTAGGATTCTGCGATCCACTTCCGAGATTAGAGTGTCGTTGTAAAGGATTCCATACCCAGTAGATTCGTTAGTGTGGTCTCGCCGGGTTAGGCAATGCAACCTCGAGCAGTTTTGTCTGCGCAAAGTGGGGAAATGGTGGGACGTCTGCCGCTAATGTGCATTCGACAAACGTCTTGGTGCTCTGCGGTTATGGTATGCTCAAGGAGGCCTTCTGTGAATGACACACGGTAGTCTGACCTTAGCACCTTCGGTGGGAATAGCAAAGCTGCTGTTAAACTGATTGAAGGGTCTATCTTACCTCACCGGACACGTCTCTGAGAGGTAAGTCCACAAGCGTTTCGACACTAACTTCTCTTGGTGGTTGCAGAATAAAAACATTTCTGGCCACTGGGTTGAGTATAGATATGAGGAGGAACACAGCCCATACACTTGGTAGTCGCACCGCTTTCTGACAGGGTCAGCCTATCGAAGTGGCATTCGCCCGGGCTCTGGGCGCGGCACTTATCTGAACGTACGCTGTGAACTTTGTATGTAAGGGTGACAATAGCGACATTTCAGACACTACACTACATGTCCTGCGGCAATAATTACTTGCCTGGCTGGATTTCCGAACTGTTGCTCTAAAGCAAAACAATCGACCTGTTGATGGTACCCTCCACGTCATGTCTACTAATGTCGGCCAACTACATTTGCTGGCCAGCTTCCTAGTTTCATGGAAATAGTAAGGATTAGACCGCAATTATCACCATTAAAAATATGAACAGACTACCAGTTTTATTTTAGCGACCCATTTTGTCTTCAGGATGGTTGACATTGCTGAATATACTACATGGAAATGTAGTGAATGCATTGTTCTCTGTCCCCAAGACGGGCCGTACGGTAAATGTGCAGGACTAACACGAGGGCTAGATTGGAGTCCGGCGGCATGTCCAGTTGCCGGCTGATGTTGTGCCAACTGAGATCCGCGTTGTCCACCGCTTTCGTTCTTCTCTAAGATCCTGGTCAAGTGTTTGTTGTGAACCAGAAGGTGTAGTGGTGCGTCAAGATGCGGGATTTCACAGCGCCAGCCACCTGCGGCCTTTCCCGCTTCCAGTATTCTTGACCTGGTCATCGCACCGTGCCCAGGTGCGGGAGGAGGAGAGTGTGGTTGATTCAACGCAAGTCTTCTATCACTATAAAACTATTCACGCGCAAGTCACCGTCCCTGCTCCAACCTTGCTGTGGAACATACGGTGGACATCGTTGGTCACTACGTTCGAACTGTGGTGTGCTGTCGTTTGTGTTGTTCACTTTTACTTCGCATTCAAATTCAACGAGGCCAAAATTCTCTCAGGAGGTGACAACCGCGTGAGACGGGAGCTGTTTAAGTCACGGTTTACTGACCCTTAGTCCATTAACAGGTGCAATGATCTTCCACTTTGCTACTCGGTGCTGTGACCTTGCCCAGGCAAATAATTAGCCACGCGGGGAGCCCACGGGTGAAGACTGTTCCCACCGCCAGGATCGGTGGGTCAGATGGTCGACCAATCATTACACCAACACCCAATGCACGTGATAAAATGCAGCAAATAATTACGCAAATGTTGGCATCCAACGGTCATCACACAAAGTGCAACGACCACTGCTGAACGCCAGCAACCGCGAATATTCATAGGTATGTGGTAGCATGACAACCGCATCCTATATATACTCCAGTCTTTTGTGCTTGAACAACCCGTATCAGGTATTGTCTCTGACGATGTATCCAAGGAGGAATAGGAAACGTCAGGCAAATAAAGCTTATGTCCCTGCGATAGTGCCTCCTTCTTCAGGGAATATGTCCGTTGCAGCCGCCTTCTTTCTGAGCCTATGGGGTCTGAATTTCAAGCATATAACATAGACCATATATCGACGCTCACTTCTTTCTTCTACAATCACCTTACCTTTTATCACCAGAAACGATCTAAAGTAGTAAGCCGCTTAATTACACAAAAACCGACTGACTGTCCAAGGCAGCATTCAGGTTGGCGCACATTTCGATGACATGCAGGACAGACGGCGTAAGACTGGGTTATTTATCAGACGAACCGTGAAGGCAAGTGTCCTTTTGTGACAGATGGATTAGGCCCTTAAAATTCTTACTGCACTCACTGAGGGGCCATCGGGGGAATTTGGGACGTGTTTGCTCAAATTAATTTTAGCAGGGTTTTTAAAGATGCAAAAGTGAGTGACTTTCTCAGTTGACGTGGATGTAGGTGAGCTTGTCTGATGGGTCAGCGTAGGCTGCCACGGTACTGCTTTGAACCGCCATCGCCATTTAACACGAATTCTTGCCACTCCAAACACGTAAACAATCTTAAGCTCCTGAGTAGGGGGTGGAGAGTGTGATTCATGGACGGCGCGAGTTTTATTTAGTGTCAGACCTATTTAGTAAGTAGAACTAGACCAAAACTGTTTTCAAATATAAAGTAGGCTAATATCCTCACGCCACATCGACGAAGCGTTTGAGCTTCTAACTACACTCGCTCAGAGAACTAAGTTCTGATTTTGAACAATTTATGGATACACTGATCACAACGGAGCACGTAGTTCCTGGTTCCGAAAAAATATAATATTAAGTAGAAGGAGATGATGTTAAAGATCAACACGATTGCTGACTGAACACTATAGGCGAAAGAAGGAACTTGGGGAACAACCAATTTAAAGGGGGGCAAATACTTCGTGTCAACAAACGTATATTGCACCATGCTCAAAATTTTTCAGCGGCTGGCCAAAGACAAACTGTTCCTTTTTGCGCACCTGAAATGATAGTATAGCCAGCCTTAGTGCGGTTTCTTGCTGCATAAGGTAACATTTTCGCATCATAAAATGCAACTTTTTTCTTATAAACAAACTAGTTTCCGGCTCGTCGCAACATGCTTTCCGCGCCGACAGCCCTTTCGTAAGGAATCTCTTGTTTCTCGCAACCTGCGTTTTGTTGGATGCTTCCTGCTTGCTCAAATTTTTCGAAGTTAGTTGGCAATATTGCAGCGTCGCTAAGCATGAAGAGGGAGAGTCAGTGTCATTTGCGGAAAATGCCACCGTCTGCATACAGGGAAAAAACGGAGGGATAGACAGATTCGATGTTTTAGCCAACTACACGACAGGGTCATCCAGAAACGTCCCAGCAAGGACTTGGAATTTTAAGAAAAATGATATCAATGCGTGATACATTCTTCTGAGGAGAAGAAGTAAAGTCCTACACCAGACTTACGAAATCAATAAAATTGATACTGCCTAATTCCAAAAAGACAACAAGGTCCCTGCCTTAGTAAAGGGCGTATGTCTGACTTTTTGAATTTTGGTGAGCTAATCTATTTGCAGTAGCGAGTTGAGGTAGTACTATCATCAAGTATTCAATAACTGCATTTGTAATATCATAATAGTCCAGGAATTTAGACATTTCTGATAATAGACAATCTTCAAAAATTGACACATCACCAAGCACTAAATGGTGGCTTTCTGTGAACTTGCAGACTTCTGTCTTTCGTCTTTCTGTGAGGTCGAAAAATCAGCACATTAGGTGAGGAGGACATTTCTTTCTTTTAAAGACTGACAATGTCCACAAGCTACTGTCTACCGCAATTTTCTTAGACGTCTATACTCAATAAAGAAATCAGCATGACATCCAAATGTAATGGATCATTGTAAAAAGTTTGGAGGGAGTACATATTTCCAGGAGGTACAGAATGGCGCACACCTTTTACGCGCCCAACGCCCATGCACTTCTGCACAAAAAATTGTCTTTTTGCAGCCTCCAATTAATGGCATTATTCCTGGGTGAAGACATTTTGGAGACTACACACTCACAAAGTACATGGAACACAATCGGTCCTCAGAATATTTCAACACGAAAGATTTGCATAAATATTAGAAATGACTGAAAACCGATCTGCTGCATTTTGCCGTGTCGAAATACCATTTGAGAAATATCATAAACGCTGGGATAAATATTCTCCCATAACTGCAAAGCCCGTCGTCACTATAAGTATCCAAAATGAATTATTACAACTCTATGGTGTCATCGCATGAGATGGGCGGTGGCTGTGGTAGAGAGAGCGCTTGTGTCAGCGTTTTCTGACAGCACATCACTACATTCGCTAGTCGTATAGCCACCGCCTCGGCCGTTGCTAGCACCCGTTGGCGTAAGCCTTTGGAGAAGCTAGCTGACGTCCGGTTGACAATCGGAAATGCTTCCTTGGCCTCGAATCGGTGTCTCGCATCGACTAAATGTGCGTAAATGAAGCTCGCAGTCGACCAGGCCTCACTTCTGTCTAGGCAGATTGGCATGTGCTTACGTAGCCGTCTTTACCAGGCATCTTGGTGTACGGCCACAGTATCCCGCACCACAGGAGCAAGTGAGTGAGTAAGTGCACACTGATGTGGCCTACAACGGTAGTCTATTTTTACCTCCCAAACTTAGAAGGTGAGAATTTGTGAAGCACGCGTGTAAATTTGCCGCGGGAAATACTCTACTGAAAGCTGTAGTTAACCCCCGTCTGACTAGTTCTCTCGATCCGTCCCCTGTAAAAGTCAGTTTCACGGTCACATCTTTCTTTTCTGCAGTCGCTTTGCAGTGCGTTCTCAAATATTTCAGGGGATAAATCCTTCAGGGTAACCGTCCCCGCAAAGTGCGTTCCGCAGTTGTTGGCCCTTTGCTTTAATAGCTTTAGGTGGGCTGATTTGTCTCACTCTAGCTGCCCATCTCTGGACTAAGTTTCGTTTGATGTTTAGGAGAACAAGACTGTGGAAATAACGTATTGTCCCGTCCAGATTTTCTTTCGGAACACCCTGCTCATGATAGACACATACTCCTGCCTGTGCGAAAGGACATCGAGAAAAGCAGTTTTTTATTTGCCTCAGACTCTGCAGGGAACATAAGTAAGCACTGCTCATTGCTGAATGTTTGGACGAGGTCTTCGTTATCGGTGGTACCATCCGCCAGGCAGAAGATATCGACCACATACAGACCGTAGAAGACTAGCTATTTAGTGGAATTTTTCAATCTTGGTTCCTAGAATTTGGCCCTGAAAATCCTACAAGAAACGATCAAAACGGCGAGCACATTGTGGCAATATCCATCTGCCTCTATAGTTGCCCACTGCGCAGAAACTGGATATTTGTGAGCAACGCGTCAGTAGTTCTTTTGGCGTTTTCACTCAATGACTAAGGAATGGTTCGTACTGTAAAGAATAACATCACAAACATAGTTTATTTCTTCTGACAGGGGCGCGTTAGTAAACAGCGATAGAACGTTCAGTCATGAAATCCTCTGTCCGCCAGCGTTAATACTTTTAATGGCATTAGACTTTCCACAAGCCATTTGACAACGGTGTGATATGGCGATTTCCTAAACTCCTATTCTGGAAGTAGGTACAACGGCACGCATGAATGACCTCACTAAAATTCCCAACCAAGTGTGTTTGGTACTGGTGATATGCGTGTATACTGCCAATAATTTGAGCTTATGTACTTCCTAATAATGTACAGGGGAAAGGTCAATATGGAAATAGAATAACAATCAGTAAAACCCATTAACTTTTCGATTGCACATTGATGTAAGACGTACCTCCTTCAAACTACTTGTCGTTCAGTTGCCTATCTCGAATTCCTAAAACCGTGATTCGTTTCATGCGGCATGTAAGATATATATGGAAAAAGATACCGTTACTATTCTGGCAAACGTGTACACATGCTGCTTGCCAACTTCACCTACATAATACTCCATACAGATTCTCTAATCAGCATGTGTTTGAGTTATTTTGCGGGAAAATCGTTGCAGTGCATTTACGAAGAATGGAACATAACTTTATATGTTTACGGAGACCACTCTAATAAACTTAGGCAACGAGAATACTACGAAATTCTATGTGCATATAAAACGTGGTCTTTTGATTGTTCGGCGAACGGACTGCAAACTGGGACCCTTAGTTTGATAAAATATCAAAAACTGTATAACGGAGAACTTTATTGTTATGATAAAATTGCGGATGTTAATTTAAACACCAACATCTGCATGATTACATTTTCAATAAGGTTATTAAAATCATTGTGCCTAATCATTAGGCAAGTAACATAGCTAGGGTGTAGTTTAAAAGGCCTGTGGTTATGCGTAAACAGGCGGGTGGTTTTAGGTAAAAGACGCATTCGACGAAGCTGTGAAACTCTTTGGGTATAACGGCAGTACACAAACGGTTCATTTGCACATACGCGGTCTTTAATTTGTCATTTAGTATTTGTCATGATCAGGGATGAAAGTCGTTGTTTGCTAAAAAGGCAAACAGGCGAGTTCCATGTAGCAGTTCAAAAGATGAAGATGCGATCACTGGAACAAGAAATTTATTTGCCTGACGTTTCGGATTCTCACTCGAATCCATCATCAGAGACATTCGCAGAGAGTACGAGAAAAATACGACAAAATGGAGAATCGCCTCGGACACGCCCAAATCATCCAGCTCCTGAAGTTCTGTCTCAAGACGTACTTTACATTCGACGGAACAATCTACGAACAGGTGAAGGGAACGCCAATGGGTTCGCCAATTTAGGGACTCATAGCCGAGGCGGTCCTTCAACGGCTGGAGTCGCTGGTTTTCCCACACCACAGACCGAAATTATGGGCTCGGTATGTGGATGACACCTTCGTCGTCATCGAACGGGATCAGGTGCCGACGTTCAAAAAAAATCTCAACGCCGTCTTCCCGGATATTCGATTTACGATGGAGGAGAAGGAAAACAACCAGCTGGCCTTCCTGCATGTCCTCGTCTGCCAAAAAGATTGTGGTGGCCTAAAGAACCAAAGTGTTCAGGAAAGCGACAAATACGACGCAAATACTGAACTTCACTAGCAACCACCCGATCACTCACAAACGCAGTTGCATAAGGGCGCTATACTGGCTCGTTGAGACGCACTGCAATTAAATGGAAGACAAGGTTGCTGAATTACAATATCTTCGACGGGTAATGAGAGCCAATGGTTACCCGCGCAACTTTGTCAACCAGTGCATACGAAAAGGACACCAGAAACCAAATCCAACCGGCCCCAAATTTTGGCGGGCTTTTCCGTACGTGAAGAACTTCTCGGAAGCCGTCAGTCGTCTTCTCACTCCCCTTGGAGTTGGGGTTGCACACAGGCCGCAAGCAACCATTAGACGCCAAGTCATGAGGCCAAAAGACCCGCTGCCACGGCAGGAAACGTCTGGAGCCGTTTACCGGATCTGGTGTAGTTGCGGACAAAGCAATTATGTCGGAGAAACTGGGAGATTACTCCGAACGCGAATTGCCGAGCACGCAGCAGCAGTGAGGCGGGGAGACGTTAACTCTAAGGTGGCAGCACACTCGACGGGACCCGGCCATATTTTCAAATTTCAAGAGGCCGAAATCCTTTCAAGGGGTGACAACCCCGTGATCCACGAGCTGCTCGAGTCATGGTTCTCAGGCCCGCAATCCATCAACAAGCACAATGACCTCCCGGTACCATATTCCGTGCTGCGATTTTCCCTGGGCAGGAGAATCAGTCACGTGGGGGGGGGGGGGCGCGGGCGAGCGATTATCACAGTGACAGTGAGCCAGTTTGCCGAGCAATCGTCACACCAGCATCCAGCACGGATGACGAAATCGCGGCAATTAACGACTCGGACTCGGACCGACAAGCCACCACCGCATCATTTACGACCCCAACGGTGATTGCGAGAACTGTTAATTGCAGTGAGCATACGGTCCCACGGCAGCTATAAATACCCAGCCTTAGTGCGGTTCCTTGCTGCATAAGGTAACATTTGCGCATCATAAACAACAACCTTTTTCTTATAAACAAACTAGTTCCCGACTCCTGATGCCACCATCACCTTTATCTGCGAATGTCTCTGATGATGGATTCGAAGGAGAATCCGAAACGTCAGGCAAATAAATTTCTTGTTCCAGTGATCGCATCTTCAACTTCTGAAGTCGTTGTTTTTTCATAGTGCATGATTTTATCTCTCAAGAATATTTTCTCAAAGAACGGATCGACTCTCAAATCGCAGCGATGAACGTGCTGGGTTATCTGGCTTAGTTGCGACCGGTTCAGTTAGCTGCAGTTTGCCTGTCACTGTACATTCTCACCAAAATCGCGAAAAAAATATAAAAATAGTCATTTTCCTAATTGCTAGTATCATTGACAGCTGCAGTCGCCTTGGCAATCATAAAATGGTAGAATTTAGGATACGGAGGATCAGGTTTCTATGAGCTGACTTGTTGTGTCGGACACACCTGTCAACACACCTGTCAAATCGCGTGACCAATGATTCTACGACAGTTTCGCTGATCGCCTCGTTGGTTACTTAAGCTGCAGTAGTATATTAATTGAAAAATCATGTAGGTGTGACAAAAGAATGAAACTTCTGCTCGAACTGCCTTTTTTGCTTCATTGCGCAGAGTCGTGCTTTCTTCTAAACAGTAATTCGTACTTCACATTTACATATTTATCAATCCATGAAAAATATAGCAGAATTGAATTTAAGTATTATATAAATTCGTACATTTATATTACAAAACCATGCGTCCATTAAAAACTGATTGAGTAACTAGCAGACACAAACTCTAGAAATATAGGTTATTTATCTTTTTGACAATTCATCAAACTGTTCTATTCTCAGAGATACACGAATGTCCGAGAAATGGTTACGATATTATCCTTGATGACGTCGCGGAGTATTTGGCATACCAGACTTATCGTGCAGGCTTTGAAAAAAACATTTTCCTACAAGCCAATTCACGTTTAAAACTAAACGTAC